GTCTTTCTGATTTTCTAGTATAGGCAGTCACAGTTATAAACTTGTGTCTTAGTTCATAGTGTTGCCGAGGTTCTGGTATGTTGTGTCACTGTTTTTGTTTTTCTCTTGATTTCTTCTATTACTCATTAATTATTCAAAAGTGTATTGTTCAGTCTCCACATGTTTTTATAGGTTCTGAAGGCATTTTTTGGGGTTGATTTCTAATTTCATTCCATTATGATCAAATAAGATGCAAGAAATTGTATCAATTTTTAAAATTTGGTATGGGTTGGTTTGTGGCCTAATATATGATCTGTTTATGGGAAAGGTCCATGGGCATCTGAGAAGAATGTACTTGGCTACAGTTGGATGAAATAGTCTCTAGAATCTGTTAAGTCTATTTGATTTATAACACTTTTTTTTTAATTATAAAACTCTTTACTAAATTTATGTCTGGATAACCCATCTACTGATGAAAGAGGTGTGTTAAAATCAACCAGTATTATTATACCAGGATCTATCTTATTCTTTCATGTGAGTAGTGACTGTTTTATATAAGTAGGTGCACCACCTTTTGGGGTTTTAACTTTTTTAAAAACATTTTTTAGATGTTGATGGATCTTTATTTTATTCATTTATTTATATGTGGTGCTGATAATCAAACCTAGTACCTCACACATGCTAGGCAATTGCTCTACCACTGGGCCACAACCCCAGCCTCAGTTTTAACTGTTTATTATAATTAAATCTTCTTGTTGGGTTGTTCTCTTTACCATTATCTTTGTTGTTCTCTTTACCATTAGGAAGTGACCTTTGTCTCTTGAGATTAATTTTGTCTTGAAGTCTGCTTTGTTGGGTGTGAGAGTGTAAACTCATGATTTGGGGGGGACTTCATTTGCATGGTCTGTCCATTTCCATCCTTTCACTTTCAACCTGTGGTTCTCTTTATCTAGAGGATGAGCCTCTTACAACAACATAGTTGAGTCTTGTTTTTTAGTCCATCCTGCCAGCCTGTGTAATTAATTGGAGAGGTGAGATCATTTACATTTGATGTTATTACAGAGAAGTGTCTATAAATTCCTGTCATTTTGATTTCTTTCTTTTAAAAAAATTTTTTTAGTTGTTGATAGATCTTTATTTGATTTATTTATACGTGGTGCTGAGAATCGGACTTAGTGCCTCACACATGCCACGCAAGTGCACTACTGCTGAGCCACAGTCCCATCCCCCATTTTGATTTATTTCTAATGTTTAATTTGCCCTGTTTCTCATTTGTGTAGGGACACTTCAAATGAGACTTATCCATTTTTGAACTCTGGGGTTGTTTTTTTATTTCTTCTGTGTGAATTATTGGCTCAAAAATAACCAGCAGAGGACTCATAAATTCTATTTTTGTCACCTTTTTGATTGCTGTGAACAAAAGACCTGACCAGAACAATTTTAGAGGAGGAAAAATTTACTTGGGGACTTGCAGTTTCAGAGGTCACTATCCATAGATGGCTGACTCCATTTCTTGGGGCCCTAAGTAAGGCATCATGGCAGAGGAGTGAGTTGGAGGAAAGCAGCTCAGGACATTTCACCAGGAAGCTGAGAGAGTGAGCTCCGCCCAACTACACAAAATATGTACCCCAAAGGCATACTGCCAATGACCCACCTTACCTAGCTACAACCTACCTTCCTACAGTTACCACTCTGTAGCTCCTACCTGGGATTAATACTAGTTAGGTTAAGACTCTCATAACCAAGTCATTTCACATCTAAACTTTCTTGTATTATCTTGCACATGAGTTTTTGGGGGATACCTCATATCTAAACCACAGCAGGGTCTTTTGTGGTTTCACATGAATTCTAGAAATTTTTTTTCCCATTTCTTTGTTGAATGAAATTAGAAATTTGATAAACCCAACTGGTTTTGTTTTTTCCTTTTCCTTTTTCTTTTTCTGTGGTGCTGAGATTAAACCCATGACCTCAAGCATGCCAGGCAACTGCTCTGCCACTGAGCTCCACTCCCAGCCTGATGACCCTGTTTCTGGTGGAGCCTTCTGTCCTTGGGTCTTCTTTTCATCCCACTGCTCCGAGCCCTCCCCAGCAGGAGTCTTGGTGCTGACAGTCATTGGCTCTGAGCACAGTGCAGGACACCTTGACCTCCCTGCTGTTCTCAGCATCATGCCCTCTTTCTCCCAGTGTGGGCATCTCCCTCCTGATGGTCTCTTGCCCACTTCTTTATCCAACCCTTGCCCTTTTTATACCTCTACTCTCCACCCTACAGGTGCTGGACTTTGTCTCTCCCTGGTCCCTCTACACCTCTCTGCTATGGGACCTTTTCCTCACTACCCCTGCCTCCCTGCCTGGAGCCCTCACCAACTTCCACCTGTCACAAGCCCCCTCTGGTGGGACCTTTGCAATCTATAGCCACTCTCATCTGCCTTCATCCAGAGCAACACCCCTGTCTTCCCCTTAACCCCCGTTCTCCTAGGGTCACCTCTATGCTGTGTTCAACCCCCACCCCTAGTCATTCCTTGACCAGGCTACTAATCTCTCTTGCCCTTCCCTCCTCCCCTTCCCATCCATATTAGAAAAAGGCTCTTGGTCCTCCTGCTCTTTGCCCTTCTCCCTCCTTTTTGGGGTTCCTTTACCTTAGAGGGCTTTGGTTCCCTTAACCATGTGTCCAAATCTGTGTTTTGATACTTGGTTGGTCCTGGTGTTCCCCAACTATGGCCTGTCCCATTACCACTTTCGTCCTGTGATGTTTTTTGTTTGTTCATTTGTTTGTGTTGGGCATTGAACCTGGCCTCAACCATGCACTTCACCTCTGAGTAACACCCCCAGCCCCTATGTTTTCTTAACCTGATGCTCTTTTGGGGTGTGACCTGCTCCACTCCAGCCCTTCCACTGTGAAGGGCCTCCCCCAGGTTGTGCAACTTGTCCCTCTTCCTTTATACACTTTGTATACTAACCTCAAGATCATTCATAGTGTAACAACTAACAGAATGCCCTTCCTTTTTAATTCAGAGTAATAATCCTTTGGCATATAAGCCACATTTTGATGAGGTGTTCCTCAGTTGATGGGTACTTGGGTTACTTGTATCTTTTGGCTTTTTGGAACAATGCTATTATTAATGTGGGTGTGCACATCTCTGCATTCACCTGCCTTCACTACTGTTGTGTTTATGCCCAGAAATACAGTAACTGGATTATACAGAAAGTATCTTTTGAGCATTTGGAGGGACCCCCTTACTATTTTCATAGCAGCTGCACCATTGTATGCATAGGTAAGCAATTCACCTGTGCTGCAATTTTCTATGTATTTGTGAAATTGTTCATTCCACATTCTTTTTTTTCTAAATGGTAGCCATCCTCATGTGTACAACGTGGAGTCTTATTGTGCTTTTATTTTCATTTCCCTAATGACTGCTGATGTTGAGTATCTGTTCATGTGCTTCTTAGGTATTTGTATATATACCAGGGAACTGGCTGTAGAGATATTTTGCCCAATTCTGAATAGATTCAACTTTTATATTATTTTTGAGTTGTCAAGATCTTTTTCTGTTTGCTTGTTTTTGGAACTGGAATCAATCCCAGGCTCTTGCACATACTAGGCAAGTGCTCTACAGCTGAGGATTTCCACCCCAGCTCAAGTATTGCAAATATTTTTACCCCATTCTGCAGGTCACCATTTCTGTGGGTATGCTTTGGTGTTCAGATGTTTTTATGTTAATTATTTTGATGGGTCAAATTTATCAATTATTTTCTATAGTGTCTGACAAGTGCTTGTGGTGTCATATCATTGAAAATTAGTCAATTCTTTTTTCTGAAGATTATTGCCAATACATTTTCTAACAAATATGTTTATCTAATATATACATACATGTATGCATATGTATATACATATATATATTATTAATAATATGAATTGAACCTATAATCTCTGACATGCTAATAAGAAATCTAACACTGAGCTACATGACAGGCATTTTAAAAATTTTATTGTGAGATAGGGTCTCTGACTAAGTTTCCCAAGTTGACCTTGAACTTGCATTCATCTGCTTCAGTTTCCTGAGTAGCTGGTATTACAGGCATATATCACTATATGTAGCTGCCAATGTGTTTTCTTCTAAGTTTTATAGTTTGCATTTTGAGTTTATGTGTGTGTGTGTGTGTGTGTGTGTGTGTGTGTGTGTGTATGTGTGTGTATACAATCTGCATATTGAACCCAGGTACTTGGACAAGCTAGGCAAGCACTCTCTCATTGAGAGTTAATTTCTAGTCCAGAGTTAATTTCTATCTGTGAATAAGTAAAGGGTCCAACTTCATTGTTTGTGTGTGGAAATCCAATTTTTCCAGCATCATCTATTGAAAAGATATATCAGATCTTTGAAAACACTGCCAGCTGCCTTTTCCCAGGAGATGCTAATAGGACCATTTACCTCCCCTACCTAGGGCCTCCAGATGTTGATCTTTTATTTGGACCCACCAACTGCTTTACATCCCTTTATGGCACAACCCTGCTTAATACTTTTGGGGCCACAACTCTCCCTTACACTGCCCCAACCTGCCTGTCCCACCTTATCCATGAGAAGTCTGCAGAGAGGCAGCACCCCTATTTCAGCCCCCTGCGCCCCTGCCCTATCCCCTGCACATGTGTGACCATGGGTCCACCCTCCTTCCACCCTTCCTGGGCCTTCCCTTCTGTGCACATCTGGACCTCCTGTTCCTCCTGCCCCTGCAGGCCAGCCTCTCTTCTTGAACTCTCTCCTATACACTTAAGCAACCTGTTCCCCTGTCTTGGGCCCTGGCTTATATGCCTGCCCCTCTCCATTTCCCCTTTCTCCATCCCTCACTTCCCCTCTCCTTCGTCTTTACTTTTCTATCTGTGTTGTATTGGGAACCTTTCTTCTGTCCCTTTGTCTGTGTGTGTCTGCTGCCTCCTCAGGTGCTCAGGACAGCAGAGCCTTTGTGGTGAGCATTGATGAGCACTTGTTTCCAGGAAGAAGTGTCATCTGTTGCTTCCTCTTCCACAGGGACCCACAGTCTTCACTATAACTTCACAGTGAGGTCCCAAGGTGGATCAGTGCAATCTTCTGCTAATGGTTATTGGGACCATCAGCTCTTCCTTCACTATGATAGTGACTCTAAAGAAAGCCCCAAACCCCAAGGGCCATGGGCAGAAAAACCCTTGGGAACTGAGAGGTGGAACACAGAGATCCAGGAATTGAAAGAGCACATCAAGAAAGCAAAAGCAGATCTGGCAGAAATCAATGCCCGGCAGGAGCAGAGAGGAGGTGAGTGTGGGTGCGAGCAAGGGTGACATGAGCTTACTCCAGGAAGGCTGGGGGCAAAGAGAAGGGACCTGTCTCTTCTCACTGCAATTGACAGTGAGGAGACACTGAGGAGAGCCAAGTTGAGGTCCTCTGTGGGCTGGAATTTTTCACTTGGAGGGCAGGGAGGCAGAGGGGCCAGGGGATGAAGAAGTGACTGTTGCGTGGGGACAGGGTCTCATTCCCTTCAGGAGATTTGGGGCTGCAAGATTGAAGAGGACAACCACACCAGGAGCTTCTGGATGATCCACTATGATGGGGAGCCCTTCCTCTCCTACCACCCAGAGATGCGCAGCTTGAGAGTGGAGCCATCCTCAGCTCAGACCTTGGCTATGGAAGTCAAGAATTCCTGGGATGCAGATGGCATTCAAAGCAAGGATATCTGGGCCCAAGTGCAGGGAGAGCTTTGTGGAAAACTTTGGACTTATCAAGTCTTCTGGAAGGGCTCCTCCCTCTCCCCTGGAGCCTCTGCCCAGGGGACCTTGTGTGAGTTTGTGTTGTGATTTGCCTGTCTTGTCACACCACTAGATAGAGTCAGGAGGGTGTATGTGCCAGACACTAGTGAGCCCCCACCTGCCTGCCTGCCTGCTATCATAGAGCTCCCACTTGTCCCCACAACCCCAAGTCCCCTAAAATACCCCTGATGACCTCACATACCAGAGTCCCTGTAACAACCTCTCCTCAACATGAACATGTGGAGTGAGAATGTGAGGCCAGAAGCCCATCCTTCTGTCAGACGACTCAGGCTCCAGGCTGAGAACAGACTTGTATAAGGTCTGGGGTCAATGAGGTCTTAGTCCAGAGTCAGAGATTGGAGAAGACCAGCCCTATTCCCTCCCTGAGAGGAACATGAGGTTTTGTCACATGTCTGAGTAGCTCTGCCCTTTCTTCTCCAGTGTCACCAACAGTAAATGTGACCTGTGGTGAAACCTCTGAGGACACCATCAACGTGACATGTTGGGCTTGTGGCTTCTATCCCCAGAATATCTCTGTGACCTGGCTTCAAGATGGGGAACTCCTGAGTCAGGACACCCAGGACTCTGTGGATATTTTTCCCTTTGGGAATGGGACCTACCAGACCTGGCTGTCCACCAGGATTCCCCAAGGACAGGAGCAGAGGTTCAGCTGCCATGTGGTACACATTGGAAAGAACACCACTGTGTCTGTGTCCTGTGGTAAGCTTGGGGATCCCAGCAGGGGTTCCCAACCACGTTGGTCAGTGACTAGGGTGGTGAGAAGGGAGAAGCCTTGAAGTTCTGGTACCTAGAGTGGAACAATCTTGTTTTCAGGTGTTGGACTTCGGAAAGAATGGCCCATCTTCTTATCTGTTGCTGTTCTTCTGATTATGACGGTTATGATTCTTGTTTGTGTCTATTACTACAAGAAGAACAAGACACCATCAGCTGCAGAGGCTTCAGGTGAGAAAAGTGGTCATTGGCTGTAGATGTGAAGGCCTGCCTGGGATGTAGGGCCCCTCATGCCTTCTGCTGCACAGAGAGCAGTGGAGGTGACCAGGAACAGGAGTTGGAAGGCTGTGTATTTGTGGGGGTTGGGAGCCATGTCTCCAGTTAGAATCTTCAGTCCTGCCAAAAGCTAGGCAGTAACATCCTTGAAGGTCCTGCTGTAGCTGTGGCTCCTGCTCTGTCCATGTCTCTTTCTCTCACACTTTGCTGGCTTGACTAGGGTTTGGGTTGGGAATGATGGGCTGATTGGTGTGGACTAGATTATCATGGCCTGAAGGGGACACAGAGTCAACGAGTTGTGATCTTTGGATGCTTAGAAACTGAAGAGGAATTCCACAGAGGTAATGCCTCTGGTTCCTTCCTGTCTGCCTTGCTCTCCCCCAGTCTCTCCAGCTGACATAATCAAAGACTCACAGGGCCAGCACCCCACCAGTGCAGTCCCTGGAGGCCACATAGAGCAGGCCATGGCTCTGCATCCCAGGCCACCACCTCTGCTCTGTGGGTAGTTTCTCTAGTCCTTCCTCAGAAGCTGTCTCCTGAGTGTGTCTTCAGGGTCACTGAGCCTCCCAGTCTCTATTCTATTACCACCACACAGGTCTTCCTCCTAGAGTGGCCTTGCAGATGACATGGACAGTAAAATAGCTGATGTCCTTGACCATCTGGCGAGAGAGACCAGCCCATTCTGGGGCAGTTATAGTTACAGTTTTTTCATATATCTACCATTTTCCATTGCAGCCCCTAGGAGTGTTGGTCACCACAGACAGGGCAGACTGCCCCAGAGCAGAGGCCCATGCAGGTGACTCCTCTAGTAGGGTAAGCAGCTATGTGCCATCTGCTGCTCCCACCTGTGGCCTCTCTGACAGGTGCAGCAGGGGAATGTTAGTTCTACTTTCCTCTGGTCAGAAATGGGGACTGTCACTAGGGCAGTACCTGGGAAGAGTGGGAAAGGCCTGTTGCTTATTTCTGCAAATTTCTCCTTTAAATGTTGAATCTCAGTAAGGACGTTCCCAGTTTCAGCTGTATGGTGTGAAAGGAAGTTCTCCAGTGCCCATGTGATAATGTGCACTAAATGTCACCCTTGGAGATCCCTCTACAGGAGTGCCCCCTGTGGGAGACCTAGATTGTGACCATGGCAATTCAAGGATGCAGAGGGTGGGCTGGCAGTCCATACTGCAGGATCTCAGGAAGGCCTTTAATCTGCTTTGGGGAGAAGACCCCTATGGGCTGGGAGAGTTGTGGCCTGCAGGATTTCATGCCAGGAATGGACATAGGGAGTTCAGAGCAGCCTTAGGAAAAAGGAACCCACGGGGAAGAGCTGGGTTCTCAGGGGTGAGTAGACCATGCAGGTAGGAGGAAGCAAAAGTGCAGATTGAGAGCCTGAGCAGGTGATTCTGAGTGTCCTCTGCATGGGCTGTTGTAGGCAGGGGAGCAGCAGATCATGTGGCAGGCATGCTTTTCCAGGCTAGGCCTTCTGGTGTCCCTGGGATTCCTGGTGGACTGTCCAGTTAAGAGCTGCTGGCTCACAGCTGAGAGGGAGGGATGCTGAGCTGCAAGTAGGGAAACCCTGTTGGGTGACCACCTGCCTGTCCATGGGAGGAGGTTTGGGAACTAAGGGGAAAAAGGGCTCTGTGTGAGTGAGCCCCTGTCCAGCCTGGCAGAACCAAGAGCTGCCCTCTCTGGGAGGCTCCCACTGTCTGTGGAGGAGGGGGCACTGGGCCTCACTTCCAAATCTAGACTCTGAATCCTGAAGCCCTTTCACTCTCTTCCATGGTGGAAACAAAGACTGGTGATGTTGCCGATAGACACACAGAGGAGCCTGATAAGGCAGGAAAATGGGATGAGAGAGAGAAAAAAAAATCAGGATATTTACTTCCCTCAGAGAATGGCCAAGTCTGGTTTTTGAGGAACTGAGGAGAGAGAGGTGTAAGGGAATAAAGAGCAATGTTCTGCCACCAATTGAACACTGACTGGTTCTCCTTCTTCCCCAGAGCAAGTGAGTCTGCAAGTCCTGGATGGGCTGCAAAGACCACCAAGTGACCACGCTGGATCCACACAGCTGGGGTGTCAGCCTCTGCTGAGAGCTCCTAAGGCATCTCAGGGAGCTTAGCCTGTATGGCTCTGCTCTGAGCAGCACTTTCCCTCCTTCTCAATGATGTGGAAACACGTTGATTGACTTGGGACTGGGGAATGTATGTAAGGTCTTTTCTTCTTAGTGGAATATAGACAGGTGGTCCATAAATGGATTTGCCTTCCCTAAAAGCACTCTGTACCATGCTGAAGCAGTTAACTTGGTAAGCTGGTGGAAGGGCCTTTTGACTAAGTCACTATAGTGCCAAATAGGTGGTAATAACTTACAGGACTGGGACAAGTTTGTCACCCAGTAGGTGAAGAACTGTGACCAGCTGAGGTGTTTATTCAAAGCAAAGAGAACACAGAGCAGGGAATAGACTAAACCAACTCTAATTTGTGACTGACATGAAAACAAGAGTTATCAGAGTTTTTATGATTAATAAATTTATTATTACCATGATATATTGCAAAATATTATTTTCCAAAGACTTGGCCATTATCACAATAAAAATAAAACCCCTCTGATTCCTGTGAATTTATCTCTGGGTATCCAAGTCCAGTAATGATCTCACTATCTGAGCACTGAGAGTGCTTCACTTGTTGCTATGCCTCTGTCTTGGTGTACTAATGTCATAAAATCTTGTTTGATTTCCTTGAAATATCTGGATTAAAAATGCAACTATTAGGCTAGTGATAGATCTCAGTAGTAGAGAACTTGCCTAGTACATGTGAGGCCTGTGTTTGATTCCCAGCTTTGTCTCAAGTAACCCTAAGTTCCACTATTTAACTTACCTGTATTCATCTAACGTATACAATGATGAGAGCCAGAGTCTGTGGCATTTTGCAGATGCTGCATGAGCGTGCCGGCTTCAAGTTCTGTATAATTTTCCAGTGTTCTTTACAACATCTGGGGCATTGGTGCCAATGTTTCACAACCTTTAAGCACAGCTGCTCTGTAGCCTGGCAGAGATGAGGTGAGCTGAGAGGAAGTCCCACAGGGCATCTTGAACTTTCCTTTCTCAGAAATTGCTCAGCAAGAATTTGAAGATAGCAAGGACACAAAAATTCGACTACAGCCTCCAAGGAAGACCTTTTCCTCTTTTATAGCCTAATGTGAACAGCATGCACATATCCTGAGCTCTCTTGTGTGGTTTACATTGTACAGTGACCGAGGCAGTGAGCCCTGCTGTGATCAGATTACTTCCTTCCTTTTTTAGCAAGTGTGTTATTCTGGTGTTCTAACTCCAAGATGCAAGGGTCTCTCCAGAATGTCAGAGACACCTACTGCCCACACAGTGTTCATGCCCCTGTGTAACATAGGCCACCTCTGCGGCTCCTGCACCCTTAACACAAGCCCTCTTCATACTGCCACTCAACTATTCCAATTTCCAACCATTTACTGTGCATGTGTTTTTCAATTTAATATTCAGATCTATTCCCTTTACTCTCATGTTTGTTCATCAGGATCATAGTCACATGTTAAATATGCAATTTTCAAGTCATCATTTATTGATATACATTTTAATTATGGCATATAGAGATGCTATGGAACTTTTTGTTTTTATTATATCTAAGTTATACTTGCTTAAATGGCCATTATTGGTGCTTATGGTTTTCTTCCTTAATAGGTGATGGTAAGATATAAAATTGTTCTCTGTACTTTGGTTTCCAGCTGCCAATTAATTTGGACCATCCCTCACAGAATACAACTGAAAATCTGAGGGCAAAAGCACCTATCTGAAAAATATGGCTAAAGGGGTAGATGGGCTAAGAAAGCACTGAAAGTGTACTAGGCCTGGAACCAGAAGGCAGAAATCTAAATAAGAAGTTAAGTGCACTGAGCTTTGTGCTGGTGGTGTCTGCTGACTGGGCCAGTGCCTGGGAGCCTCTCAGGGCCGGAGGGCAAAGGCTACAGTTAAAGGGTGCAAAAGGGACATAGGGGGCAACAGGGATCCCTTGTGTTGGGATGGGCCCAAAAGGCTATCCTTTAAGAATCTGTCAGCAGTTCTTCTGTGGGTTACACCTGTACTTTAACATATGTGATCCAGAGAATCTGAATAGCGAAAAGTGCATTAAGGTGTTATTTCCCACCACTCTTATTTAAAATTTTTTTTCTTTTAACTTTTTTAAGTTATCAAGATCTTTATTTTTATCTATCTATCTATCTATTTATTTATATGTGGTGCCGAGAATCAAACCCAGGGCCTTACACGTGCTGGGCAAGCACTCCACCATTAAGCCACAACTGCAGCCCCCAGCACTCTTGTTAAGCATTATAATTGAGAACCTCCTCAATGTTTTCAAGGGAGAAAATAAATAAATATAGAAGGGTTTGAACAGAGATATTGAACTCTCATAATTTGCAAATGATAATATGTTGAATTCATAAAGTCTCAAATTATTACAAATTCTTGGAATTAATAACAGTTTCCTATGGTTGCTAGATTAATATATCTATTTCAATGTTTTATATTCCAGAAGTGAACAGAGTATAAATTTAACAAGAAATCATTGACATAGTAAGAATACATTTTATACACTTCTAGAATAAAATCTACAATTTTTCCTCCAAATAGCAAATGGGGTATTTTAACAAACTTATTCAGTAATTAGAGTAGACAGTTAACTAACTGAAGACAATTGCCAAGATTCTGGCTTGTGATTCAATATTTCAATGGCATTAATTTCCAAAAATGTTTCAAGAATTCTAATCAACCTCAATCAAATATCCACTAGGCATTGTATGGCACTTGGTTAGGGGATTCTAAGCCTTATATAGAAATATGCATGAATAATAGCCAAGACACCTTTAAACAAGAAAGATAAGGGACTGTATTCTCTTAGTAGATATCAAGACTTACATTGCAGTTATCATAAGCCAAGAGTAGAGTGTTGATACAGAGATAGATAAATAGATTTGTGAGTAGAAAGACACAAACCAAACAATACACATGAAGATATTATGAGACTACAGTGTGTATCAGAGAGAGAGAGAGATACAAACTGGTGCTATATGTAATATAGTGATATCTGAGATATCTACACAGCAGACTAAGATATTTCCTGGCTCTAGAGTGTTGATATATAATACTGATAACATTAGAGATTGATGGGTAAAGGACAAATTTTGAAGAAATGATTTTAGTGCAATTGGTTACCCATATGGAAAAAAATGGAATTGTACTCATCTCTTCCAAAATATTAATTAACATGGTAGACTACCTTCACTACCTTAGCAAAGGGAAGAAATGTTTTTCATCCAAGTGACAATAAAACATTTACTCTAAGGGAAATGGGATAAAATTAAAGATATTAAATTTGAGATTCCAGATCATTTGGACATTTTCCATTCCTAGTGGACAATGGTAATGACTAAATGTTCTTCAGCAAAATCTCATTAAGAAGAATATACCTTGGAATGCATTATAGGGATCTTTCTTAAAGGTACCTAACCTTCTATTCAAAGGATGGCATCTGACATATATTGGCTTTGGTTGGAACTGGGTAAGAGTTCAGAAGACATGGGATTACCCAGAACACTTAGCAGTTCTTACACCTACATGTGTCAAGTGGCACATAAACTCCTTGATGAGGAGAGTGTCCTCCCAGCACTCTGAGGAGATACAGTGAGGAGAGAGTTGAGCAGGTTATATGTAATCTTTACATACCACATTCCCATTTCTCTGAGCCACTGTAGATGCCTCCCTCTACAATTTATCTGAGGTATCTGCACAGCAGACTTGGATATTTCCTGGCTCTAGAGTTTGCTTCAATTTCTAGCTGGTTTTGATTCACACCCAACAATGAGACTCTCTGCTCTGAGCCACTGCTTCTTCCATTGGCTGCTCATTGGAATCCCCTGGAGAGTTTCACAGACAGGATTGGTACTTGAATTACTCTTCTGGTGAATGAGATTGAAGGGTTTAATGTGTGATCCTGGCCTGGGGCTATTTAAGGCTATCCCAGGTGACTCAAAGTGAAGATGAGTTTGAAAAGCACACGTTGTCTGACTATATTCATATGTCATTCTGGAAGAAGAAAATCTACACGAACAGAAAACAGATTTAGATTGTCATCAAGAGTTGGATAGGAGAGTGATAAACAAGATTCAAGAGAAAATTTTAGGATGAAGGATCTGTTCTATGCAGAACAGATGTAATACGTTTTGAATGTATTATGGTTTACGGTTTGAATCTTAAATGGCCACCAAAAGCTCATGTGTTTAAAGGCTTGGTCTCCAGCTGACAGCACTTTTGGGAGGTGGTGGAAATTCTAGGAGCTGGGATGTGACCTAGTTGAAGGAAGTAGGTAAGTATGTGGGAGTATCATTGAAGGGTAGATATTGTCCCCAGTGCCTGTTGCATGTTCTCTCCTCTCTCTCTTTCTCTCTCAAGGAAACTCTAAATACACACACACACACACACACACACACACACACACACACACACACACACACACACACATCTTCTGTAAGTAAAACTTATATTCTCAACAATATCACAAATTTAACTGTGGCCAGGGTGTATGTGTTTCATTTTTAGGTCATTGACACCAAGAAAGAGTAATCCTCATTAACTTGTGGCTGTCCTAATCTAGTAATTAAACATTTTCTGGTCTAGTTTCTTGTTCACCTGTGAGAAGAAGCAGCTGCATTTGTGGTCAGTTCTGGTCTTCTGGGAGACCCTCCTTTTTTTCTGGATTGAATCTCTGTGTTAATTCATGCATGTTTCCTCCTCTCTGCTCAAAGATCATTCAAGATAACTAGAGTGTAAAGATTCAGAAATTCTTAGTCTATCTGGTACTCCACTTCCAAAGATAACAGATCAGCCTGTTTCAAAACAACCCATCCCCCCAGGAACAATGGTGAATTGGTCAGTAGGTAAAAACATCCACGTGAAGGCACTGGAGAGTGATCAAGGCAATGAAGCCTCTGAGACCAGAGTTTAGACAGAGGAAAACCCCAGGTATGTGAGCACTACATTTGACAACTCTCTGCTTCAAAGTATATGTCAAGTTCAGGCTGGTAGCTGGGAGCCTGGGAAGCAGAGTGAGATTTTCAGAAGATTTCACTGGTAGAGAAATTTAAAATTGGAGAATACAGTTTTACAGAATGAAAATGAATGAACTATTGTTATAGCAAAAAAAGTGGATGACCTCACCAAAAGCAAACAAATTTGAGCAAAATAATGGTGTATGGAATCACTTATCTCAAGCCCAGCAAATGGATTTGGAGAAGCCCATAGAATGAAGCCTCTAACAAGTGATTTGTCTGACACAGAGATTATCACAAGAGATTTTTCTAATATGCAGCTTGCGACTGCAGACATACAAGCACAGCAAGTAGCACAAAGACAGCTAGTAGTTTATGGAACACTTTTGCCTGATGCACTGGTTTGCAAATTCAATCCAAGGAAGCAGCCTGGTATGTTAGGGTAACAAGTTTACCTGGTATCTGCCAAT